ATTCGTTATGTTTTTAGATCTGAATAGTTTACAAGAAAATAAACTTGCCCAATACAATAGACTGCGATTATTTTGCACAAGATGACTAGAGCATAGTATAAGCATCAATCGGATCCACTGCAAAAGCATACTCCTTGGATATATTAATATAGATGAAGGCAAAGTGAAGAAAATCTGATTTTAAGTGACCATCATGGCATGATTATTTTTCTCCTTGACTCGTGACACCATTTCACTTGTTTTCGGTTTTTCCTAAGTTCTGCGCCCAAGTGCATGCTGATCTAGATTCTTGTACGCAGAAATCCCTTTTGTATAAGCAGAGGCCATCGTCAGAGCCTCTTTCTCCAGAAAACTTCAGCAAGTCCCACCCAAATTATATGTCAATACTTGATCCCTCCCACATACCAAACTAGCTTCGATATAATTTCACCCAGAAACAAAAAAAATAAAAAAGAATTTCTAAAACTTACGTTTCCAATATCCCAAGATCAACCTTAAACATCAACAGTGAACAAAAAAAAAACTACAAACAAGAGACCATCCCCGAGTACCATGATCAAGTTAACTCGTTTTCGTCAATCAAACCAACCAACAGCCAAAATCTCCCGCAAACACAGAAAGGCAACATAACCAGCGAGATCAAGAGAGCGCAAGATTAGAAACTTACAATTCCCCCTTTGAAGAACCAAAGGGCCGTTTGAATTGAGAGTCGGGGTACACATCATCCCTTATTCTCTTCATTCCTAATAAAAGAAAACAAAAACCACACGAGAAAAAAACAAACCTGCTCTTCACACCAAATACACAACAGCATAAACCACAAAAAGCGGCAAGACCCAGAAGACAAAATCTCCTGAAAAACTTACTCTGTAGCTCCCCAGTTACTTATTGCAATATATACAGCACCGAGGAATTAGCAGATCTCAGGCATAGGAGAAAGGAAGGGAGAGAAGCACACAAAAGCACTAGGCTTTGATCGCTTTACGAAGGAACGAGAGGAAAACAACAGTGACCCAATACGTCTCCCGACCCCCTCGCTCTACCCTTTTCAAAGCTCACGCACAATTTACTTACGCACACGAGAGAGGGAAGAATTGGGCGACACCCAGAGGGAGGAAGTGAAGAAAGGACGAATTTTTATAGGGGGAGCGCAGGCTTATATATGGAGGGTATTGGCGAGAAACAAGTGGAATCGGGACGTGGAAGACGAAATCCTCGTTAGGCTGCGAGAAAATGTTTCGAGGAAAAATATGCTGCGAGCGAACAGTGGAACACGAAACGAAGGCATGCCTTTGAGCTTTGTGGTATAAGGTGGTGTTAAAAAAAAACACCCCCAAAAAAAAAAATGAAATGAAAAACGTTTTTTTTCTTTTTTTCACATTTTCTTTTCTTTTTTCTTTTTCGTGTTTTTCAATTTAAAGTTCTAGAGATGTTGTTCTTGTACGGTTTGGTTCCTGTGGGCTTCGGACATGGAGCCCGCGTCGATCACTCCGCTCGACAACGTTATTTTATTTGGTGTTTTTTCTTTTTTGGGTTTTGCTTTTTGCCCTAATATTTAATTAAATCAAATCGTTTGATCTTGACCATGTTGGATTAGATTGACGTTAACCATCCGGCGAATTCGGTGTTCTCTCCAGAATACCGGGTGTTAACTTTCTAGTTCCGGAGAAATATTATCGTCAGTCCAGTTGATGTCCTCCGCAAAAATTATCAAAAAAGTTACAAACCTATTACAATTGTATCAATTCAATCATAAACTTCATTTTTAATCAATCGAGTTATAAACCTTTTTCTTTTGTGTCAATTCATTTCATCCGGCCAACTATGACCAGAAATCGATGACATAAACATCGGCCGTCCTACGTGACACCGTCAGTGCCGATGTAGACAAATTTAAATAATATTTTTCGATTTTTTTATTTTGATTTTTTTTCTCTTTCTTTTTTTTTCTTTCACTCTTTTTCTTCCTCAAGCCAGTCGCCGAGGTAATGGCAACCGATCAGAGGTGAGGCTTGTCCTTACTAGAGACGGCGTGGCTCGACCTTGCCAAAGGTTGCGAGGCCGACCTCCCCTGGGCTGCCCCTTAGGCTAGCTAGGGTCGAGCCTCGCCCAGCCATGGCGAGGCTTTTTCAAGGCCAATGAGGTCAACCTCGCCTTGGGTCAGTCACCAAAATCGAGTAGAGGAAAAAGAAGAAGGGAAGAAAAAAAAAGGAAAAAGAAAAGAAATATAAATAATTCAATCAAAATATTATAAAAAATTATTCACACCAGTACCGGCGGTGGCGCATAGGATGATCAGCGTCCATGTTAATGATTTCCGATTAAAGTTGGTCGGATGGACTGAATTGTCATAAAAGCAAAATATTTATGACTCAATTGGCAAAAATCAAAAGGTTTAGGACTGAATTGATATAATCGCAATAGGTTTCGGACTTCCTTGATAATTTTTCCCGTATAAATCATATGTTAAATTCCAAAAAAGTTAGATGCATCTAGTATCCTCCGGTGATTAGACTGCAAAGTGAGTATGCTAATGGTCTAGATTTAGTGAAAATCCCATCAGGAATCGACTTTCGCTTTTAAATTATTGACTTTTAATATGCGATATTTGACTTTTGCCAATCTATCTGATGACTTAACCTTAATAACTAGACAAATTCCTTTTGGCAAGTATCGGGGTCAACAAAACGAAAGTCAAGTATGATCGTAGATGCCTATCCATATTTCCCAAATCGAGGCATTCATCCAATACCGAGCAGCAAGCATTCTTTATCAGATGTAAAGGTTCTGCTAAATGGATTAGCGTGTGGCATGGTTAAACCGACATGACTTGTCAGACTACCTTTATCAAAAGCCAAATCTTACCCGGTTGAACTAGCTGATCTTCCGACCAAAAAAGAAAAAAGAAAAACCTAGCTGATCTAGTAAGGCTTTTAGAGAATGCTGATGTTCGGGTAGGGACGACTGGTTGTCGGGACCTTGTGACTCCCGGTTGTACCTGAGAATTAGTCCCCAAACAAATCAATTTTTTATAATGATATACCATTTCACTACAAAAACATATGTTTGTCAAGTAGTTATATTATTGTTTGTTTATGTTCAAGACCATGGTTCGATTCTTCATATGTGAAAAGTGTGTTTTTTTTTTTCAAAAGACCAGTTCCAAGCCGGTTCTGCTTCCACCGGTCTGGTTCCCGGGTAGAACTGGCAATTTCAGCCATGGGATTGAGAATTGAACCAAGAACCGGATCGGCTTTCCTTAGAACCGACATTGAACTGGACCTTTAGCTCACCCCTATATGCAGGTATTTAGACTGTTTGTAATGTTCCTAAAACTTATGAGCAACCTATGTTTCTTCATATAGACCATGTACTAGAAGAAACGGTTCTCACTTATCAAGTTTGTCCATGCAATTCCGCTTCCCAACCTAGGTTAGGTTTGGAACCCTTCCCCCTATTTGTCAAGTTTTTTTTGGAAACCAGCTGAAAAACGGATGTGCGCTGCTTGCGCGGCTCGCTTCGCTTTTGTTGCGGAGCTCGCTGCTTTTCATTTTGTTAGTAGTAGGTGTAACTCCTTTGGAAATATTACCCGAATGGTATTCCTTTCGGGTCTCCATGCAAAAATGCATTTTTGACATCTAGTTGATGAAGCTTCCAACCATAGCAATTTGCAATAGCTAATGCTAGTCTTACAGTTCCGACCTTCACAACTGAAGCGAAGGTTTCTTCATAACTTGGAGGCTTGAACGAACTTCTTAATGTTCGGAGATCCTTGGGGATTAACCAATAGCTTTACCTTTCGATGATCCCGTTCTTGATCCAATGTGGAGACAAGATATGTTCGTTATACTCTTCATGACACGTTTAGGAATAAGCAATTCATAGGACGGCTAGAGTATTATAGGAGGGACTACAACGAATCCAGTCAGCTCAAGAAATTCAAAATCAGATGAAAGGCGGGATTGAGATTGTAGTGTAGTACTAAAAGGAAGAATTTATCTCTTATTTTGCAGACATGTATGACATACGTGGGCGCCCTAATGTTATGGAACTCTTATTTCTCATTTTTTGATTAATTTCAATAAGTGTTGGTAAGTGTCAAAAAGCTGTTGGTAGGAAAAAATAACCCATGGTTTTTAACCTGGTAACTAACCAACAGTTTCATGAAAATACCAATTCTTTTCTGATAATAGCAAATTATCAATTTTTTAATTAGCTTATCAACTTTCATTTGCACAATTGACTAGCGCTTGGAATTTACTAACTTTTATCAACCTAAATTAGAGCGACTTATGAATCTTTGCTAGATTAAAGTATAAATTAGCTTTGAATAACGAGTTAATTATAAACGTTTGATTTTTTTAAAATTTACCGAGTTTTTCATTGAGTTACTAACTTTTATTTACCTTGATTGGAAACATTTTTCGTTTATTAACTCTTTTTAGATATTTACCAAACTAAATTAGTACAACTCGCCAACTTTTCTCCATGAAACTACCATACAGTATTGGGTTACTAACTCTCTTTTGAGTTACTTGGTTATTCATAATTCTTAATTTGCCAACATTTCTATTGTTTACAAACTTTCGTTTGCAATTTTTTATGATGACTTAAATCACCAGTTATTTTTAGATATTATCAACCTCAATTAGAGTGATTTGACGACTTTTTTTTCAATGAAACTATCCACTAGTTTTTAGTTACAAACTCTCACGTGAATCACTTACCAAAAATTTTGTAACACTCACGAACATTTCAACAATACACTAGTATGGAAAAAAGTCTTTTTTTTTTTCCGTGAAAGAACATATTTGTCCAGCGAATTGCGAATCGTTAATTTAGCGGGCATTTTTTTTTCTGGTTATTACTCAAAACTGCACATTGCTTGGGTTATTCATCCTTAATAATGTATCTCATTGAGTGTTGTTTTCAGTTACTGTTACTGTTGGATTAGTGGATTCTTTTCTTAATCTGTCTTTTACAACTTTATGGACAAAAAGTGAAAATAAAGTTATTCCCATCTAATCTTCAATACTGAACATGTAGAGCAAGTGAAAAACACTGTACCATAATGAAGCATGCTAATCATGTAATTACAGTAAACAAGCATAAACCCCTCCTGCTCTCTACTTTGAAAAGAAGAAAAGAGCTATTGTCATGATCTTAGTGCCTTGACAACATTTCCAATGGTTTTTTTTCGCCCTGTTCTAAACAGATTCACACTGCACATTATTCGATGCGTTCCGAGGCGTTCGGCGTGCTCTGGAGGTTCACCAGCGAGTAGTAAGCTCCGGTCGGACCCTTAGCCAACAAGGAAGAGTGGCTTCCCTTCTCCACCACCTTCCCTTTGTCTAGCACGGCGATCACATCGCACCCTTGTATGGTACTCAACCTATGCGCCACCACTAATGTGGTCCGTCCGACCATTAAGCGCTCCAGTGCATTCTGCACCACCTTCTCCGACTGGCTGTCGAGCGCGCTAGTGGCCTCATCCAGTAACAACAGCGTCGGGTTTCGCAGTATAGCTCTTGCTATGGCTACTCTCTGCTTTTGTCCTCCGGAGAGCTGGACTCCTTTTTCCCCACACCACGTGTCGTATCCATCCTTTAACGCCACAATGAAGTCGTGAGCGTTTGCAGCCCGTGCAGCCTCGATGACTTCCGTTTCATTCATCTCGTGCGATATCCCGTACACAATGTTCTCTCTTATTGAGCCGGCGAATAGAGTTGGTTCCTGACTAACCAATGCAATGTGCTTCCTTAAGGCCCTGAGGTGGTATGACCTCGTATCTCGTCCGTCGATTTTTACCGTGCCTTTGATTGGATCGTAGAATCTTTCGATCAAGCCAATGAGGGTCGATTTTCCGGATCCGCTCTGTCCGACTAATGCGGTTGATGTCCCTGCTTCGATTTTGAATGAGAAGTCCTTCAAGATGATGACATCCGGCCTTTCCGGGTATGCAAAATCTACCCTGCAAAACTCTACATGGCCTGTTATTTTTCTTGGTTGGTAACCTTCCATGTCTTCGGGTTCTATTCTGGTCTGCCGGTCCAATATGGCGAACACGGACCCAACTGTGTCCGAGCCCTTGGCAAGGTCTGTGGTCATGCTTCCGGCGTCCGCAATCACTTTGCCTGTGCTGATCAAGATCATGAACGTCTCGAAGAGCGCTTTTGATGTGATTTGCCCATGAGAAATCAATTTGCCTCCATACCAGAAATCTAAAGCCCAAGCGCACTTTGTAAAGAATTGTGAGGCGGCTAGTCCGATACCAGCATACCACGACTGCCGGATGCTCTCTCGTTTTGGGGCTTCCTGGGCTTTCTCGAGCATTTTGAGGATGCGCTCTTGGGAAGAGAATGAAGTGATAGTTCGGTGGTTGGAGACTGCGTCCGCCGCGAGCTTGCTACTTTCGTCTTGAGCCTTGATGGCCTTCTGAGACATGGTCTTCATTAGCACTCGTCTCATGTAGAAGGAGATTATAACAAGGGGCTGCACGGCTATTACTACAAGGGCGAGTCTCCAGGCGATGATCAGACCCATGGTGAACGCGATTATTATAGCCGAGCATGTCTGCACGATAAGGGCCATTCGGTCACCCACCAAAGATCTCACCTACACAGAAGCATCGAAGCAGCATTAGCCATCAATCAATACGAGGCCATTCCCCTAGACGTAATTGTCAACGCAGCATGTTAGAGATATAGAGGACTAGAACGAGCGAAGTGCGGTAAGGTATAGTATTTACCACATTGGCATCGTTGGCGAGTCTAGAGCAAACTGAACCGCTTGAGTTCTGATCTTGATCGAACCATCCGACTTCGAAAGTCAGGATTTTAGCGAGCATCTTCTCTCGGATCCTCTTAGTCAAGTTCTCCCCCATGAAAGCGAAATTGTAATGCTGGATCACATTGACCGCGAGCGAGAACACAGCCAAACCCAGAAAGCAGAATGCATAAATCCTTATCTTTGCTTTAATCTCCTCGTGGTCTTTCAAAAAATAAACCGAGATCATCGAGCCCATGGCAAAAGCATACACCGGTTGAACTGCGCCGAACAAGATCGCGCTGATGCACCCCAGGATCGCTTGTTTCCACTCTGGCATGTTCAAAGCTATCAATCTTCGGAAAGATGGAATGGGGTTCTTTTGATCATCCGAACCAACTGCCGCCATGGACCTCGCTGAGCTGGAGCGACTCACCTTAGATAGGCTATGGCGGCTACTAGTACTATAGCCATCCATGCTTAATATGGAAGAAGTGATTTGGTTCTTCAGTTTCTCATCTTGATCTGTCGGTTTCTGTTTCTCTGATTTCTGAAGATTGACCAACGAGGTGTAGAGGCCATCTTCGTTCTGGATGAGCTCTTCATGATTGCCAGTCTCTATCACTTGCCCGTTCTGAACGACAGCGATGTTATTGGCATGTCGTATAGTAGATAGCCGGTGAGCAATGATGATCGTTGTGCGACCGACAGAAGCTCGATCGAGTGCGTCCTGAACGATTTTCTCTGATTCAGAGTCTAATGCGCTCGTTGCTTCATCTAGGAGGAGGATTCTGGGTGCTTTAATGATAGCTCGTGCGATAGCTATTCTCTGCTTCTGCCCTCCTGACAATTGGATGCCTCTTTCCCCTACCTGCTGAAGCAAATGTAAGCTTATGTTCTTTCACATGGTATATGTAACACAGTACTCCCAATCGAAAACCTTTCGTACGTCATTGATATTGGACTCGAGTGAGCAGGCACTTAGCATCGAAAATATATACAATTTGAGGAAAGAGAAGGACCGGACCTGCGTGTCGTATCCCTGAGGCAACTGACTGATGAAGTTATGAGCATTGGAAGCCTTGGCAGCTTCGATCACCTCCTTCATCTCGGCATTCTCCTTGCCAAAGAGTATATTCTCCTTTATGCTAGTCGCAAAGAGTGTTGGCTCTTGGCTCACTAGTCCCATTTGCCATCTAAGCCATTTAATTTGCAGCTTATTAATGGCGATCCCATCAAGGAGTATTTCTCCGATGAGCGGGTCGTAGAACCTCTGCAGGAGAGATATCACCGTGGATTTTCCAGAGCCACTGCCACCAACCAAAGCTAGAGTCTTTCCTGATGGGACCGCAAGAGAGAAGTCTCTGAAGATGATGTTTGCAGGTCTCGACGGATATGCAAACTCGATGTGTCTAAATTCGATGTTTCCTTCCAAATTCGGTATGGTCTCCCCCTCCATGTTCTCTGGATCAATCGGGGGCACTCTCTTTATCACCTCCTCTATACGCTCACCTGCCGAGCATGCCTCCGAGAAGTACTTGAGGTTGGATAAAGCAGCACCCAATGCCCTACAATCATTTAAGGTAAGACCAAACAAGTCAGGGTCAGTTGCCTCTAGAACAAGGCGATTTCCTAAATTATAAAGCAGTTTAGGCACAGGACTACTTTTCCTGAATGTATTATCAGCAAGAATGCGAGTGAAAATCAAAACTTTAAGAGAAAGCTGGATGCTACTTACACTCCGCCAAAAGTAATGGCCGTGCCAACAACATAAACCGTTCCACCTTTATAATGATGGTCCATGACCATCCTGCTACCATAATATGCCATGAAAGACCAAATGGCGAACACAATACTGTTGCTTCCGATCGCCAAGCCTTTGGCCAAGCCCTGCCTCAGCCCCAACTTCACGGAGCCATCAAGAGCTTTAGAAAACTCGGAAAGCGTTTTGCTCTCACCGACAAAGGCATATACTGTTCTGATGGAAGAAACTGCCTGTTCTGCAATCATGCCAGCCTTACTATACTCTTCCCTTATCTTTCTTGCGATTACTATTAGAGTCCTCCCATATATCATGCCCGGAATGATGAGAAACACAACAAAGGGGAACCCAACTATTGCCAGTCTCCACAACATTATGAATGCCGCTATGTAGCTCCCGACAAACAGCGAAACGTTGACAAGAAAATTAGGGACCTACAAGTTCAGTTTAGTCAAACTTAGCTAATACACCGGGAATAAAAAATCAGAGATGAAACACAACATAACAGAGAGATTAAGATTCTGAATCGGGGACCTTCTCGCTTAGGACGTCCTGAATCACGAGACTATCGCTGGATACACTGGTGACGATATCGGACGTGCTTGTCACATGCATATCAAAGTAGGTCACGTCTTGCCTGAGCACAGCTCTCAAGTATCTGGCTCTCATTCTTGCCGCTTGCCTTTCACCAGTCCTGGTCCAACAATACCCTTCTGAATATAATCATCATCACCAGCACGGTCAGAAAATGTTAGGCAAGTCCCACAAGCATTTCCAACCTAGAACACTCACAAGAGTTTCTACATGTATGAAAGCAACCTTCTCCAAAACGGTGGGTGCATAATAATTGTCATTGAAAATATGTACCAGTGCTCACAGAATCTCAACTTTACTCCAATTTCCAACCCTTGCCAAGATAAATAAAAAAAAACCCAGAAGGGAACAAGAGAAACGGTGTGACCCACCTAGAAAACAAGCAAACAACAATCCACAGGCGATGTACAAGAGAACCAGTGCATTCTGCAGAAACACAACCCAGAGTGAGCGAAAGAGATCACTATTGCCAAGTTACGAGCTCAGAGAGAGATAGAGATGGTTGTGTGTACCTTGTTCATGCTGTGACGAAACGTTGCGGGATCCAGAGAAGATGCAGCGCCGATGTTGTTCATGAGCTGACTAGTGACGAAGAGCACGAGGGGAGTAGAGAAGCCATCGGCAACGGTTCCGACGAAGCCGAGACCCATTAAGCACTTGTCCACCCTATCTGCGTGCATGAATATGGACCCTATCGACGACCACCCCTTCTTCTTATTCTTCTTCGTCATCTCCTCCTCCTCCGCCGCATCGCTCCGTCTCTCATTTTCCATTTCTGTCTTCCCAAGCTTCTCTCAGGACAAGCCAACGTAAAGATTCTCAACTCTCACATCTGCTGATTGATTGACTGGCTATAAATGCTGCTTTGCTTGTCACTTCCCCCTAGAATGACAGTGAGACATGAGATCAGAACCGAAGCTGACGGGGTTGGTGGTGTCTCCTCTTGGCCAAGAGCAGCCATTATTTATAGCCTGCGAGATGGAGGATTGAATAACTGCATCGATCGACATCCTGACAGCTCCAAAAAGTCAACTGATCTTAAGATTCAGGACAGCAAAATAATCGATTCTTTCCAACAAATTGCCATGTGACGGTTTTGAGTAGTTTAGGTAATTAAAAATAATAAAAGAGAAATATTCAGAAAATCAAAATAAGAAGTAAGCATTGCAAGAAAAAAGCATAATCATCAGATGGACCATCACATATAATGGTTCCATCAAATTTGACTGTGCATAGAACTACACTCAGCAAGATTTTGTATTTCATCTAATTGAAGAACTTAGATCTTCAAAATCGTGTTTTTAAGGAAAATCAATGAGCCTCCTAAGAGCGATAATCGACAAGATTAGAAGGAAAAATCACGGGAAACTTCTTCGTTCTTTTAATTTATCTTAAGAAAACGAACATAAAAATGGCGTGATGCGCCAACATGGTATCGCCGGCTAATTACTACTTATTATCCCGATCGGACAATAAAATAATGCACGTAACTCCGGAAAATAAAGACCACAAAATTTGATGTAGTGATTATTATGATGGATTGGAAAAAGTTGCAAGGTAGGCGGGGACAGCCACACAGGTCAAGGGAGATAAGAGTTGACTTCGACGTTGGTGATTAGGCGTCATCAGTGACGCTTAATCGAGGCCCTTCTTTTTCCAGCTCATTATTTTTTAGTTCTCTTGATTACGGCATGGATCACGACTCTAAAGGCGCAAATAATAATCATTATAATTCTCTATTTTTTTTTTCAATTTTTCTGTTTCCAGGAACAGATTTAGAGCAGAAATCTGTTTGGCAACGAATTTCATTTTTTGATTTTATTTCCGAGACAAATTTATAACTCAAAAATAGGTTTGGAACAAAAATGAGAAGTAGATTTTTTTTTACTTTTTTATTTCTAGAACAAAAACAGAAATAATAACTCTCTTATTGCTTGCCCTTGCTACCCGCCGACTGTCCACTGCCGCCCGCCGCCGCTCGTCGGCCGTTCGCCGCCCGTCCGCCGCTGGCCACCAGGAACATAAATTTAAGAACAACCTATCAAACGAATTTCTATTCCGGGAATAAAAATTTTGTGTCGTTATCAAACACTATTTTTTGCTAAAAAACTCGTATAGGGAATAGAAATATATTTTTCTGTTTCCAGCCAGAAATTGGGCCAGGGAAGATAATGGTTATCCTTCGCGCCCTAAAATATTCTCTCTCTTTTACCATTTTTTTCTTTGGTGGTTATCGATATTATATTCGCATCCTGTATTTACAGTGCATATGTGTAATTGTATGGACTTCTTTGGGTAGCCCATGTCACCTTCCCCTAGAATTAGATGAATGAGGCACTTGAAAGTTAGTTTAATTCCAACATTAAAAAATTGCAGGACCACCAAAAACAAAATTCCGACATAAGATTTTAAATTAAAGTATGCGTCGGTTGATGTATAAATCTGTCACGAGTAACATATCGGGGCGGTCTCTTTCGGAATAAGAAAAATGCTTAAGTTCCGAAGTATGTTATTATTATTACGATGGAACACGTTAGTGGTTGGAATGTTCGCCGACTCGAGGCTGGAAACAAAACAATGAGTTTAGGTCCGTCACAATAGGACACAAGTATGACATCACTAGTACAAATGGTGTCACATTAGTTTGGCCAAAACATAGTGGGGTTAAGCCTGCGGAATGAATTCGAATTGACCCCATTCCTAACCCCGCTAGCTACGGAAATAGGGTCACGTCATTACGAAGGAAATAGAAATTTAAATAAACACAAATTCAGGAATTCACTGAACAGAATTAGTAACGAAACCGAAAATCCGAGTGAACATGGGGATCGAATTCTTCCAAAGCGCGCGCCCCGTTCGTTCGTTCGTTCCGATCGTGACGGTTCAATTAGTTCGCGCTGGAATCTAGGGTGGATCGAACTATTTATGAACATGAAATTAACTTGGAATTGACTTGATTTAATAGAATGAATTTCGACAGATAACGAATCTTGTTGATTTTTTTTTCCCTCTTTTGAGCAGATTCACGTTGCGCATTATTCAACACACTCCGAGCTGGTCGGCACGCTCTGGACGTTCACGAGCGAGTAGTAAGCTCCGGTTGGACCCTTAGCCAACAAGGAAGAGTGACTTCCCTTCTCCACCACCTTCCCTTTGTCTAGCACGGCGATCATGTCGCACGCTTGTATGGTACTCAACCTATGCACCACCATTAGCGTGGTTCGTCCGACCATTAAGCGCTCCAGCGCGTTCTGCACCACCTTCTCGGACTGGCTGTCGAGCGCGCCAGTGGCCTCATCCAGTAACAACAGTGTCGGGTTTCGCAGTATAGCTCTTGCTATGGCTACTCTCTGCTTTTGTCCTCCAGAGAGCTGGACTCGTTTTTCCCCGCACCATGTGTCGTATCCATCCTTTAACGCCACAATGAAGTCGTGAGCGTTCGCAGCCCGTGCAGCCTCGACGATTTCCGTTTCATTCATCTCGTGCGATATTCCGTAGACAATGTTATCTCTTATTGTGCCGGCGAATAGAGTCGGTTCCTGACTGACTAATGCTATGTGTTTCCGTAAAGCCCTGAGGTGGTATGACCTCAGATCTCGTCCGTCGATTTTTACCGTGCCTCTGATTGGATCATAGAGTCTTTCGATCAAGCCGATGAGGGTCGATTTTCCGGATCCGTTCTGTCCGACTAATGCGTTCGATTTCCCCGCTTCGATTTCGAATGAGAAGTCCTTTAAGATGATGACATCTGGCCTTTCTGGGTATGCGAAATGTACGCTGCAAAACTCTACATGCCCTGTTATTTTTCTTGGTTGGTAACCTTCCATGTCTTCGGGTTCGATTCTGGTCTCCCGGTCCAATATGGCGAACACGGACCAGACCGTGTCTGAGCCCTTGGCAAGGTCCGTGGTCATGCTTCCGGCATTCGCAATCACTCGGCCTGTGCTGATCAAGACCATGATTGTCCTGAAGAACTCTTTCGATGTGATTTGCCCTTGCGAAATCAACTTGCCCCCGTACCAGTAATCTAAAGCCCAAGCGCACTTCATAAAGAATTGCGAGGCGGCTAGTCCGATACCAGCATACCACGACTGCCGGATGCTCTCTCGTTCCGGGGCTTCCTGGGCTTTCTCGAGCATATTGAGGATGCGCTCTTGGGAAGAAAAGGACGTGATAGTTCGGTGGTTGGAGACCGCATCCGCTGCGAGTTTGCAGCTTTCTTCTTGAGCCTTGATGGCCGTCTGAGACATGGTCTTTAGTAGCATTCCTCTCATGTAGAAGCAGACTATAATAAGGGGTTGCGACGCAATTATTACAAGGGCGAATCTCCAGGCGTTTATCAGACCCATGCTGAAGGCAATTATTATAGCCGAGCATGTCTGCAAAATTAGAGCCATTCGGTCACCCGCCAAAGATCTCACCTGCACAGAAGTGTTGAAGCAGCATTAGCCATCAATACGAGGCCATCCCGCTAGATGTAACTGTTAATACACTGTATTCAAGACATTGAGGACCAGAATGAGCGAAGTGCGATGAAGGAATTGTAGTTACCACATTAGCATCATTAGCGAGTCTAGAGCAAACCGAACCGCTGGAGTTCTGATCTTGATCGAACCATCCGACTTCGAAAGTCAGGATTTTAGCGAGCATCTTCTCTCGGATCCTCTTAGTCAAGTTCTCCCCCATGAAAGCGAAATTGTAATGCTGGATCACATTGACCGCGAGCGAGAACACAGCCAAACCCAGAAAGCAGAATGCATAAATCCTTATCTTTGCTTTAATCTCCTCGTGGTCTTTCAAAAAATAAACCGAGATCATTGAGCCCATGGCAAAAGAATACACCGGTTGAACTGCGCCGAACAAGATTGCGCTGATGCACCCCAGGATCGCTCGTTTCCACTCGGGCATGTTCAAAGCTATCAATCTTCGGAAAGATGGAATGGGGTTCTTTTGATCATCCGAACCAACTGCCGCCATGGACCTCGCTGAGCTGGAGCGACTCACCTTAGATAGGCTATGGCGGCTACTAGTACTATATCCATCCATGCTTAATATGGAAGATGTGATTTGGTTCTTCAGTTTCTCATCTTGACCTGTCGGTTTCTGTTTCTCTGATTTCTGAAGATTGACCAACGAGGTGTAGAGGCCATCTTCGTTCTGGATGAGCTCTTCATGATTGCCAGTCTCTATCACTTGCCCGTTCTGAACGACAGCGATGTTATTGGCTTGTCGTATAGTAGATAGCCGGTGAGCAATGATGATCATTGTGCGACCGATGGAAGCTCGATCGAGTGCGTCCTGGACGATTTTCTCTGATTCAGAGTCTAATGCGCTCGTTGCTTCATCTAGGAGGAGGATTCTGGGTGCTTTAATGATAGCTCGCGCGATAGCTATTCTCTGCTTCTGCCCTCCTGACAATTGGATGCCTCTTTCCCCTACCTGCTTAAGACAAATGTAAGCTTATGTACTTTCACATGGTTTATGTAACACAATACATAGATGCAAGATTCTCCCAATCAAAAACCTTTAGTACGTCATTGGTATCGGACTCGAGTGAGCAGGCACATAACGCATTGAAAATATATACAATCTGAGGAAACAAAAGGACCGGACCTGCGTGTTGTACCCCTGAGGCAACTGACTGATGAAGTTATGAGCATTGGAAGCCTTGGCAGCTTCGATCACCTCCTTCATCTCGGCATCCTCCTTGCCAAAGAGTATATTCTCCTTTATGCTAGTTGCAAAGAGTGTCGGCTCTTGGCTCACTAGTCCCATTTGCGATCTATGCCATTTAATTTGCAGCTTATTAATGGCGATCCCATCAAGGAGTATTTCTCCGCTGAGCGGGTCGTAGAACCTCTGCAGGAGGGATATTATCGTGGATTTTCCCGAGCCGCTGCCACCAACCAAAGCTAGAGTCTTTCCTGACAGGATCGAGAGAGAGAAGTCGCTAAAGATGATGTTTCCAGGTCTTGACGGATATGCAAACTCGATATGTCTAAAT